CAATTTTCAGACTTCAACTATAAGGTAGAAAATAGTTAACTTCCACCCAATGTATCCAAAATATCGTCGATTCGAGGCAGAGTTAACTGTCTTTCTTGTAAACATTGTTCAATTGACGGTAAATTACACAGAACCATGTAGTTCCATCCATCCGTCCGTCAGTCCGTCCGTCCGTCCGTCCGTCCGTCCGTCCGTCCGTCCGTCCGTCCGTCCGTCCGTCCGTCCGTCCGTCCGTCCGTCCGTCCGTCCGTCCGTCCGTCCGTCCGTCCGTCCGTCCGTCCGTCCGTCCGTCCGTCCGTCCGTCCGTCCGTCCGTCCGTCCGTCCTTCCATCCATCCATCCATCCATCCGTCCGTCCGTCCGTCCGTCCGTCCGTCCGTCATTCCATCCATCCATCCATCCATACATCCATCCATCCATCCATCCATCCATCCATCCATCCATCCATCCATCCATCCATCCATCCATCCATCCATCCATCCATCCATCCATCCATCCATCCATCCATCCATCCATCCATCCATCCATCCATCCATCCATCCATCCATCCATCCATCCATCCATCCATTCATCCATCCATCCATCCATCCATCCATCCATCCATCCATCCATCCATCCCATCAATCAATCAATCAATCTATCCAGAAAATTATCACATTGTGTTTGATTTTATTAATATAAATAATATTCTTCAAAGTGACTGTTTAGTATATTTGTTTTTTTTGCATATATAGGTTATTTTGAGGACAATTGTATATAATATACAAATCTTCGTGAAAATGACCGGTATATGCCGATTGATATACCGGTATATATAGACAGTGTATAAGATATATACCGATCACTTTGAGGAAGTTTATACTCGTATATACCTTCCTCAAAGTAACCGCTAGACATATATATATATATATATATATATATATAGCTTAGCTCACAAAAATATTAACTCAGATGCACCTTAGGGGTCTTTTTTACATCACTGTAATAAATTTAAGAATGACGATTAGTAAATTAATTTTTTTTAGTTAGTTGGTTTCTCAACAATTTTGTACTTCAGTTTTTTATTTCTACGGTTTTAATTTACACTACTATTAAAGTCATTGTAAAGCTCCTCAGATGTATTATTTAGTTGTTGTGTTTTATTAAGTTTATTTGCTTACTGATATTATTGAAATAAATCAAAGTGGTGGTTTCTGTGTACATACATACAGGGTAAATTTATCAACTGTAGGTACACACACAAAAAAAACAAAAATCATAACAATTTTTAACAAATGCCGAAAATAGTGTAAAAATACCGAATAAATTCAAATTTTCGAACTAAAAGTTATAGTGATGAAAGGAAAATTCTTAAGATGCATCTGAGTTAATATTTTTTTAAACTAGGCTAAAAACAAAAAAATTTGAGTGTAATATTTAGTTCTAAACAATTTTCCTAAATAAACTTCTTTGATAATGTCAAAAATAAGGGTAATTTACTGCTTAGTCAAAACTCCTATTTTTTGTCATCCCCGTTATACCATTTAGAAATTTGAAAGTTTGACAATTCCAATGGAAGTTTTTTGCAAAGTAACAAGTTTTATCGAGAATAAAATGTCTGTCAAATGATTAATAAAAAAATAGTGCAGGCTTCTTCAGTCTTACTGTATCTTGACCCACCAACTAATTTTTTAATTATTAACGGTACAGGCCGATCATGCCTACCTTTTAACACTACAAGGTCGCGCAGTCGCGTCCATGTGTATTTCTGTCGGCCTATACAAAAAAGACTATCAAATTAAATTTGTAGGAGAATAATTGGAATTTTTTATAACGAGTCAGAAACTTATGTGGCGTATTTATTTGAAATGGCACGCCCTGTATATTGTGACATTTTCAATTAGTTTTCTTTTGTCTGATTACCGCGGGAAGAGCGGGAAAAAAAGAAAAAAGTAATAAAATGGTTATTAAAAACCTTTTTAGATGCATCAAAGTTATTTGATACACCATCGTGTACTGATAAAGGAAGAAGATTTTTTTATAAAAAAGGGAGTAATTGCGGAAAAAATTGTGTTACTGCCAGTTATTCTCAAAAGCTCACTGTTTACAACGTAGAAAATGCACCAGATATAGATAAATTAAACAGAATTACTCAATGGCTAGAACAGAGTAATAAAGGTAAGGTTTACAATTAATAAAGAATAAAAAAGGTCAGTTGTTTTCTTTTGATAGTTTCGTTACATTAGCCATATCATTTATTAACAATTAAAATTCATATCGTTCGTTAATTAATTAACTGTAATTTATATTAATCGATTTTCTTTCTTTTTCCAACAAACTTTTCTTAACTTTTCTTCTGATCAACAAATGTTAACTTTCTACAGCAAAAGGTTTAAGAATTGAGAGAAATCTATTGTTAATTACTTAACTTTACACCTTGAATATTCCAAATGTTTTACAACAAAAATACTTTTTTGAATTTATAACTAAGACCCCTTTCAGACGATCGGGTTTGACCTGTGGTTCCGTGCCGGATGAAAACCGAATGAGTAGAGATACATTCATGTATATGTACCTTTTCACATGATACGGTTTCGGTTTCTTACCTGATTGAAACCGTAGTTGTCCACTAATCAAACGGAACCTGATGGAAACCGGATACAAATCGTATGAATAATTTTTAATTGTTCGGTTTTCATCCGGCACGGAACCTGACAGGTCAAACCCGATCGTTTGAAAGGGGTCTAACAGATGCTTAAAATGTAAGATTTTATTTTACTAAAAATTAATTACTAAATTAAAATTAAAATTTACTGATTACTAAGATAATAAATAATTTTTTAGTCTGTGATGAAAAAATGGCCTTTACCTCACTAAAACCATTAAGTGGAGATACGAGCCCAGTTTAACATATTAGTTCTGAATACAATAAAAAAAAAGATAAGGAAACACAAGAATCTCAAGAAATGGGATATATTATTTACGAATGTAATCAAGATTTACAAAAAGAAGATTTAGGAATATTTGAATTCGCCGGTGACGGTAATATTTATTTTTCCTGTATCATAATTAACTTCATTATAAAACATATAGAGGACAATTTAATATTGAAATTTTAGGACGGTTGTAGAAGATAAATATTTATATAGTATTTGTTCATCTATTACATATGTAGTTTCTCAGTGGTTCTTCTTCATTGGATTCCATTTTTTTGGGTTTAACCAAATTTTTTCAAGATTTACTGAAAAAAATCAATAACATATAATACAATAAAACACGTTTCGATTCTTAACCTAGAATCGTCTTCAAGTTATAAAAATTAAAATATAAAAAATGTAAAATTTGATTTTTGGTAAAAAATTGACAATAAATAAAAAATTGAAGGTCTATTTTCTTTTTCTTAAGAATTCTTTTATTTTTGTTTTGTGTTCTTTTTAAGCATAGGTATTTATCCAAGATGAACTTAGTTCTATGCTTAGGTTCTATATGGAACAATTAGCAACACACTCATTTTTATTAAATAGTATGTAATCTGATTCTTTAATTTTTCTTTTTGTGTGAACTGATTCCTTTTCTATTATTGATGATGATTCCCAATTTATATTATATCATTTATTTTGGTCAAGCATGTTGACAAATTTGAGATCTATTGAATTATTTTTTCTTTATGTATGATTTATGCTCATCTATGCGTACACTTAATGGTCTTGAGCTTTCACCTATGTAAAATTTCCCTCATTCACAAATAATTTTGTATACACAGTTTTTTGTTTCTTGAATTCGATTATCAGGTTTTGTTTTCGTCAAAATACTTCTTAAAAGGTTGTTTGTTTCAAAAACGGTTCTGATTTTGTATTGTTGTCAGATTCTGCTTAATTTTTCTGATAACCCCTTTATATATGGTATAGTTAGAATACATGAAAATATTTGATTGTTTTCTTTATTTTTATTTTGATAATTTTTTTGAAATACTTTTTGAATAAAGTTTACTGGATTTTGGCTCTGTCATGTAATGATTTAACTAAACCTGATTTGACGTTATAAGAGTGGTTACTGTGGAAATTTTAATACTGATTTGTACCTATTTGTTGGTTTTCTATATGGGTAATTCTCAAAAAAAAGTACATTTTGCAGTTACAAGTGGATAACTTAATTATTTCACAAAATTATGTAATTTTTTATAGTAGAATATAATATTTCAAATGATGTTTTAACAAATAAATAGATCGATTCTCATTTTTTTTAAGTATCTTAGCTTGTAATTTATACTTAAAGGCAAAATGTCACCTTCGTGAGCTGTAACATCATTGAATTATCTATCATCAGCATAAGGTTTTAGTTTTTTTACATGAATTTTAAAACTAACTTTATATGCATTTTGCTAAAATAAAGTCTAAGTAAGCTATTTACGAAATATTATTTTTTAATTACTTTATAAATATGGCAAATACCCTTTAATTATCCTTGTAACGTATGTCGCCGTCACCTCCGTGCAGAAATCAAAGTGTTAAAAATGTCCTTTAGATGTCACTACCTAATTAACGCACAATTCCTAAAGTAAACCGAGTTGCACCGCCAGTTTGATTTATGTCCTTCGAGAGGTCTGTTGGTGAGTCAAAATCGGCAAATATTTAAAACTAAAAAAGCGCTGTGCATGTTTTGTCCCCTCCGTACAACATATTTAAAGGTATGTATATTTAGTAAAAATTATAATTTATAAACAATTACTATTCTTATTATTCGCCAATTCATTATTCTGATTTTAATACATTACCTTGTGATCATTCATATAAAAATTCTTAATTATCAATAAAAAAGTCACCTCCGTTCATGTCACCTCCGTTTAATTAAATACGAACGGAGGTGACGGTTAGCGAATGGAGGTGACTTTAATGAATGGAAATAATAAATACGGTTAATTTATATTGACTTTTGTAGTGTTTAGATACGAAGATGGCAAAATCCAAACAAACCAAAACAGATGAAGAAAAAAGAAGAGTAAATAGGGATAGAATGAGAAGAAAACGAGAAGCTATTAAAGAATCCCGAATTATACAATGAAATGAAAATGAATGAACCTGAAAGATATCACAGACGTGTTCAATGCGGGAAAATAAAAAAGATACAAGAGTTCAGTGACAGATCCAAGAGGAAACAGAGAAAGATATGGAGAGAGAAGAAAATAAAAAGCCGTCTAAATAAAAAAAGACAAGAAGAACATTTCCAAGCGATTACGGAAAATACTCCACCTGGGACTCCTCAGCCAAGAGTTTATTTACAAAATAATGAAATTCTCGGAGATGCTCAGTCATCTCACCAAAAACAAAGTGGTCTGAGAAGGGCTCGCAAAAACAGAAAACAATTAAAACAATGCATACATAAATTAAAGAAAAAAGTTGAAAACCTCACTAGAAGCAACGCCACTTACCGAGTACGACTAAGTAGGTTAAAAGAAAAACAGAAAAATAATTTATCTAATACACCACGTAAAAGAGTTAATAATTTATTAGATGGACAACATGTTAATGAAAAAATTCGAGAACAAATTCTTTTTGCAGAAGTATTAACAAAACAATTAACCGACAATTTTAAAAAAATCAAATCAAGAAAAGGAAAAAATGAATTTGCTTTGAGTATAACAGGAAATCTGATGAAAAAGTATCGATTTAAAAATGTAGTCAGTTCTATATTATCAAGAAAATTTGTAAATAAAACACATTGTATATCTAATAGAAGAAAAAAATTATTAACGGAAAAGTATAAGCTGGTGAAGGAGTTTCTGGAGAGAGATGAAATAAGTCGTTTGTGTCCAGGAAAAAATGATGTAATTACAAAAAACAAAATCAAAAAACAAAAAAGGTTACTGACCGATTCGATAAAAAACACATACAAAATGTTCAGATTTGCTTATCCTCATACGAAGATAAGTTACTCTTTGTTTTGTAAACTAAGACCATTTTATGTTCTTTCTCCAAATGCCAAGTCCCGAGAAACATGTTTATGCGTTATTCACGAAAATGTGTTACTGCTTGTGAGCAAAATGAAGCTTTTAAAAATCATAAACGAAAATTCCTCTAGTGAAATAGTGAACTCGCTCTGTTGTAGAGATCAAACAGAGCTCTGTAGTGAAAGAAGTTGCGCAGCTTGCAAAGAGAAAACCATAGTAACCAATGAGTTTAATTCTGATGATATTACGTCATATAAAAAGTGGGAGACAGCAAAAGTAACTCTTTTAATTAAAGGTGTAGAAAAGCAATGCCAAAAAACAATAAAAAAGCAGATAACTTGTACAAAACGAGAACTAGTTGTTGTTTTGGAAAATTCAATAACCAAATTTATGGCTCACACAAATAATATTAAGCATCAGTATCATGCAATCTCTGAAATAAAACAAAATCTCAAGTTTGCAGACGTATTAATACCTACACCTTGATTTCTCTGAAAATTATAATACTAATTATACAAGAGAAGTTCAGTCTGCCCACTTTGGAGGTTCCAAAGAACAAGTTAGCTTGCACACTATGGTTTTCTATTACAAGAGTCGCGAGTCCAATTCCGTGAAACCAATTTCAATGTGTACTATGTCTGAAAGCCTCAGACACGATCCGGCGGCAATACTTGCTCATATCCAGCATGCCGTTACTGAAGTAAAGGTTTTGGTACCGATCATTAACAATGTTCACTTTTTAAGTGACGGACCTGTAACGCACTACAGGAACCGAAAAATGTTCTACTTAATGGGAATTGAAATTCCTAAGCTAATGAATGTTAATAGTCTTCAGTGGCATTACTCGGAAAGCGGACATGGGAAAGGGGCTCCGGATGGTGTTGGAGGTTGCATTAAAAGAACTGCAGACCGAATAGTGGCTACTGGAACGGACATTACTAATGTTTACCAATTAGTTAACAAATTAAATGGAAATTTACAAAAAGTAAAAATTGGTCTAGTTAGCGAAGCATCGATATCAAAATGTGATGATTTGATTCCTTCCGAAATTGCGCCTTTTCGTGGTATACTACAAATTCATCAGATAGTTTGGAATCGTAAAAATCCATTTATTATCCATGCCCGTCGTCTTAGTTGCCTTCAGTGCACTTCAGAAGAACATTGTATCCATTATGGCATAGGAAGCATAATTTTTCAAAATTCCAACTTGGCGCCAAATTGTATCCTTTTTTTAAATATAGTATTTCTACAAACTACCCTAACAATTATTATCAACATATTTTTTTACAATTTCGAAAACATCCTTAACAAATTATATTTAGCACTTGATGGTGTACAGTCTACAAGACTTCGCTATTCGGATGTATATGATTCAAGCAGCGAAAATGAAAGTGAATTCGCCAATTTCAAGTCAGAAAAAACTTTAGCAGTAAATGACTTTGTAGTTGTAAGATTTCCTGGTAAAAAGTCTTCTACAAAACACTATGTAGGCATGGTGTTACAAATTGACGGTCCAAATGAGTATTTTGTTAAATATTTGCGAAAGTCTGTTGGTGGAAAATTTTGTTTTCCCAACGTTGATGATATCTCAACAGTCGAGTTATCTGATATTGTTCGCGTTCTAAATCAACCTACCTGTAAACGCGATCATTTTATGTTTAATGATGATCTTTTAAATTTTGAGCATTTGTGTTAGAATTTTATTTTTTAGTCTCTCCCTGCGTTTAAACGGGACCATTTTAGTTTAAATGTTGATCTCCATAATTTTAAGTTATTTTATTTGATGTTAGAATTTGTAATGTAAGAATTAATCATTTATGTTAGAATTAATCTTTTATCTTAGAATTTTGATTTTTGTTCTTTCTAATTTATTCTTACCAATTTTTTTATTTAGAATTTTAGTATTGATAATATAATTTACACAATATTACATATTTAAAAAATAAGTCTTGGAGTTTATATCTTGTAAAATACCTGTAACAGTGACCCCCATTCATAAAGCCGTCACCTCCGTTCAGATGGCATTTCTTTTTTCAAAAAAAAAAATGGAAAATAACATACCTCGTGTGTGACCACTTATAAAACTTTGTTTAAAATCGCAATATAAACACAATAAGGGTAAACTCCTTATACATGAAATATGTTTTCTTTTTTTTTTTGTAAATTAAGGAAAATGCACCTTTTCACAAGAATTACCCATATACAGCTGTTGTTATAATGTCATCTTTCAAAAAATGATCGAAATAAAAATAAAGAAAACTCAAATATTTTCTAGTATTCTAACTATACCATAAATAGGGTGGCTACTTTTTATATTGGACAGCATTGCTATCTCGGAAACCGTAAGAGTTACAAGGTCGGTTAAATGGGAAAACAGTTACCTTAATATAAGACCAATACGGTAATGTTTTGAAGTTCCGGATATCAGGTCCGGTTTCCAACATTTTTGAGGAAAACGAAATAGGTCGATTTTCTTCTATTGGCTCTGGAGCCTTTATTTCTTAAAATTGTAAAAAATGGTATTAAGGTTTTTTATTTAGTTGTAAATGTAGCTTTGGTTTCTGTAATGAAATTTGCAATCCGTTTCGTAACCAAGAGGCCACCATCAAGGCATATTTTTTAAATACGGACCTGTATTTTTAATTTTATTTTCTGAAAGTACTGTGAATTCCTAATACAACCGAATGATATACATTGACTTTTAAGACGTTTCGATACTATAAGGTTATCGTCAGGCGACATTTAAGAAAATTAGGTATTTAGATTTTGGTGTTCACGATTTTTTGGGCGCGTAAATACTTTTGAATACAATAATATAAATAACATATCATTTGGCGAAAATATTGTAATATTCATTGAAATTCTTTCAGTGCTTGAAGCAGAACAGTGCAACTATAATACATCAAATTTAGCAAACGATACCAAACGTGCCAGCTACAATACATCAACTTCCATAGAAAATATGTTTCAGCCCTCTCCTTCTGAGTATTTTCCATCAGATTGTGAAGACTCCGAGGAAGAAGTAGAAATAAAAAAAACCGATAAAAGTTTAAAAAAGCTTACAAAGACTAAAAAACAACCCACAACTAAAAATAGAAACAGAAAAGATGATGAAGAAGCAATACAAATTAAAGTGAAAAGCATAAATCTCCAACAGAAAAACCTGGATGCCAGAAGTGAAAATAAAAGTAAGAAAGAAACAGAAGAAGAAAATCAGAACAAAGATTCAGATGTAACTGTCGAACCGAAAGAATGTAAACTTGCCAGAAAAAAGGAAACCGACTATAATCTCGCCTGTTCATCTTCTATTAAGGTTGTAGAAGTTCGAAAAAATAATTTTAATAAAATGATCAGAGATAAAAGATATAGTTATTATTGTCAGAAGATGGTTGGTCAAATAGCAAAACACCTGAAGAAGAAACATAGCAATGAAATTGAGGTTTCCAAAATTTTAGCAATGCCGAAAAATAGTAAGAAAAGACGAGACGAATTCTCTAAGATATTGAAAGTAGGGAATTACTATCACAACTGTGAAGTGCTTACTTTAAAAGAAGGGAGTCTTATTTTAGTTAGAAGACCTTTACCAGCTGAAGCCGATTCTTTTACATATAACGATTATGGCCCTTGCCCAGAATGTCTTGGATTTATGCTTAAGAAACACTTGTGGCATCATATAAAATATGGATGCAAAAAATCACCCACTGATAAACCTAATACTTTCCGTCGAAATTTTGTATCAGAAAGTTGCGCGCTCATAGCACTTACGCTAGGAAATAACTTTAGTAGTGAATTCTTTAAAAATATTATAGATAAGTTACGAACTGACAACATAAGTCTCGTGTGTAAGCAAGACCTACTAATAATGAGATTTGCTTACATGTAATTTGAAAAATATCATAATACACAGAGTGAACTCATTCGTCAATCACTTCGTCAATTAGGACGACTTCTTTTGGAATTAAGAACTAGGGATCAAAACAAAAATAATTTAGATGAGTGGTTGTACCCTGAATATTTTGACACAATTATTGAAAGCATCAGAAAAGTATGCTCCTTTCAAGAGGACACTTCGGCTCGTCCAATTTATAACGTACCGTCTTTGGCCCTAAAATTAGGATATTCAATTAAAAAATGTGTTAATATTTTAAAAGGAATGTCACTTCGGAAAGGTACGGAAGCGTAGAAGGGCCACATTTTTTATTTTTTTTTTAATATTTCTAAAATTCCGTGTTCGTACACGGAATTCCTTGTTTAAACACGGAATTTCCGTATTCAAACACGGAAATCCACAATTTCGTGTTCAAACAAGGAATTTCCGTGTTCAAACAAAGAATTCCGTATTCAAACACGGAATTCCGTGTATGAACACGGAAATTCCGTGTTAGAATACGGAATTTTAGATTTCCGTGTCCGAATAAGGAATTCCGTGTTTGAACACGGAAATTCCGTGTTCGAACAAGGAATTCCGTGTTCGAACACAGAATTTTATATTCGAGCTTCGAGCTACAGTATTTATTGGTATATGTACGGCAGCGTAGAAGCGTAGATGCGCTTATTTTGGTATAAGTATATTTTCAAGAGGTGTCATCATTTTTCGAAATATGACGTCATCACGAGTTTTTTAAGTAGCACCACCATTTTTTGATAATACCATTTAATAGAAACCCAAGCAACAAAATTCTTAACCGGTCCTCCATTTCTTTACTTTTTTCGAGAGATAACTAATAATTGGATTTAGAAAACACCATCTCACTTTACCCATCTCTTATCTTGGCTAGAGAGGCAATGAGGGTAAATTAAAAACGCTATACAGGGTGTTATTTCGAATCGATTTAAATGAAATTTGGGAATCAGGGACTAGAACCTAAGACATAAGACTGACCTGGAAATAAAATTAAAGGAAAAATATTATTATGCAGGGGACAAAGAGGGCAAGACTTTTGATACTACTTCCGTCTCTTTTTTAAAAAATCGGCAAAAGTAAAAATCTGAGGATATTCAACGAATCTGTATTTACCCATCCCTTCCAAAGATCCTCAAGTCACCCAAGAGTAACCTATAAATACGTTATTTAAATTTATAGTTTGAAAATAAATTCCGTGTTCGAACAAGGAATTCCATGTTTGAATAGGGAATTCCGTGTTCGAACACGGAATTCCGTGTTAGAATACGGAATTCTTTGTTTGAACACGGAAATTCCGTCTTTGAACACGGAATTTGAGATTTCCGTGTTCTAACAAGGAATTCCGTGTTTGAACAAGGAATTCTGTATTAGAATACAGAATTCTGTGTTTGAATAAGGAATTCCGTGCATGAACAAGGAATTCCGTGTTCAAACACGGAATTTTAAAAATAAAAAAAATTAAAAAGTGTGGCCCTTCTACGCTGCCGTAGAAAGGAGATATACAAAATTATGATAAATTAAATAGATTTTTAGAAATTATGGACATGGAATGGTCAATTAAAATATCTGCTAATGCCCTCGCAACATTTGAAACAAGAAAAATGAACACAGTTGAACTACTGCCTTTAACAGAAGATTTGGTAACTCTCAACAATTACTTAAACGATGAAATTAAAAAATATAATATTGTTTTAAATTTAAATTGCACTTATCCAAACTGGAATCGTTTAGCAACTGTGGTACTGGCTAAATTAATACTCTTTAACAAAAGACGATCCGGTGAGGCAGCTAAAATGAAGCTTGACCAATATAAAAACAAACCAGACTGGATGCAAGTTGGAACTGAAGAATTCAAAAATTCTATGTCACCAGTTGAACTTGAACTAGCTTCCAAATTGTGTCTAGTTCAAATAAAAGGTAAATGTGAAAGAACTGTTAATCTAATTTTAACTAAAGACGTGACCCAAAGTATCGATTTGCTCTTGGAAAAAAGGGAAGAAGTTCAAATTTTAACCAAAAATTCCTATGTATTTGCGAGAGGTTTCGAGTCTTTAAATTATATTAGGGGGTATGATGCTATCAGAAAATGCACCAGCGAAATTAGTTTAAAAAAACCAGAACTGATGAATGGAACCAAATTTCGAAAATATATAGCGACAGTATGTCAAGTTTTCAATTTAACTGAAAACGAAACAGATTGGTTGGCACGACACCTTGGTCACGATATTAGAGTTCATCGCGATTTTTATAGATTGCACGAGTCATCGGTCGAACTCACTAAGGTTAGCAGAATCCTTTTAGCAATAGAAAGTGGCGAAGCCCATGTATTTAAAGGAAAGAAACTGTCAGATATTAACCTAACAGGTAATGTGCCTATCATTTTTGTTTTGTACAGGGTTATTCATTATAAATTACCCACCCCTTATTATCGTTATTATTGTCTATAGAAAAAAAAGTTTCAAATAAAAGGTAATAACTGAATTTTGTTAAAATGCTATCAACTATACAGTGGCGTGCGGATTTAAAGGGATACAAAAATATAATATATTTTTTTAATGGGACACCCTGTATATTATTTCATTTTTTGATTTGTGTTTTTTTTCTGATTTCAAAAATATATAATATATTACCCCTACCTTATACCGTTTTTGAGTTATCATACGTCGAAGATCTTGTGTAACTAGTTACTGCAAATATGAAAAAGTTTTTATTACATTAAAGTAGGCTATGAAAATGACTACTATTATGTTTGAAATAATCAAAATGGTTTACAGTGAGGAAGAAAAAGTCCAAATATTTACTTGTTATATGCAAAATACCAAAAATAAACGTGCAAGAAAAAGAGCATATTATTGTATCCAAATCTTCCAACACCATCAGAAAATACGTTCAAAAATATTTATCTAAAGGTGAATCACACCTCCAGTTTTAGTAGAAAAAAGCGTGTAGTTGAAGCAAACCAGGAAGAGCACCTAGATATACTGCTTCACTTTCATAGCCTACTTTAATAATGATAACTTTTTCATATTTGCAGTAACAAGTTACCCAAGATATTCGACATATTATATATTTTTGAAATCAGAAAAAAATGACAAATCCAAAAATGTAATAATATACAGGGTGTCCCATTAAAAAAAGTATATTATATTTTTGTATCCCTTTAAATCCGCACGCCACTATACATCTGATAGCATTTTAACAAAATTCAGTTATTACCACATAACTTTTATTTGAAGCTTTTTTTTTCTATAGGCAATAATAACGATAATAAGGGGTGGGTAATTTATAATGAATAAACCTGTACAACATTAATACCTTTCAATAGTTCACATAAATATCTGTTATATTCTCAATAATTTTCATAACCGTTTCACATTTGAAAATTGATTTTTTTTTAATTGGAAATAAATCTTTATTGTAACAACTATTAAATCCTTAGGTACATTATTTTATTTTAATCAATTTTTTGTAGTAAACTGATCATTTCGGATCTTATTTTGCCAACCACTAGTGCTTTTTCAGACTTAAGTTATTATCAATACATTTTCTTCTAATTCAGTGCAATTTTTATTACTTTACTATTATTTATTAGTCTTGGGATTTTTTTCAGAAAATGTTTATTTTGTTGCAGTTATTTACTTTGACCGAAAAGTTCTGCTTTGTTTCTCTAAATAGTACATTCTCATAGTCAAAATGTTTAATTAAAATTCTGGCAAAGATCACTCGAATTTGTTTTATGAATAATAGATTGACAATATTTAATTTGTAAATTTTTCGCGAATTATTATATAATGATTACTTTTCAAAACATTTTTAGTGGCACTAAAATTTATTAGATGCAGGGTAATTAACAACCGAGCATTCTTGTGTTCTCTTATTTATTAACTATACCTACAAATAAAATAACTGATTTCATTAAAATGATGGGCTCTCGGATTATCTATTTTTCTTTTTATAATATTCACAACTTTTCTAATATTTTAGATCTTCCTGAATTACCAGAATGCAATGAAGATGAGGTCTTAGAAGGTACTTCCAGTAGTGGAAAGTACTTCTCCAGTAGCACAAAGTAATTCTGTTGAAAACGAAATAAAAATGAATAAGAAAAACATAAGACCAAAAAAAACCGGAGAAACCAGGAAGAAAAGAAAAAGCAGGAAGAAGAGTTAAATGGACTTTAGATGAAAAAAAAGTTGTTTTAAAGTTTTTTAAAAATGAAATTAAAAACAAAGTGGTACCAGGAAAAGAAAGATGTTTGGAATGTAAAGATAAACACGACGTTCTTGCAAAAAGATCTTGGCAAGATATTAAATATTGCATCTATAACTATAATAAAACAATAAAATAATAATTGTATGATGCTTACGTAGGCGTTGCGACCGCAGGGCAAGAGAGGACAAGGCCTCTCGGATTTTTAACTATTTTACGTTATAGAATAATTTTATTTTTTAAATACATTTTTTAAACATTTTTTTTGTTTTGCATTATAGACTTTTGTTTTGGTTACATTTCCTTTTAATTTTAGTCAGCGCCCAATTCTTCAGCTGGCGACTTTTTATGCTTATACTGTTTTACATATAAATAAACATTAAAAAAAAACTAGATAATTATTTAATCCTTTCATTTAAAACAATTAATATTCGGAGACACCAAGGTGCCTCCCGAAATGTATGGCACCCATCCGCTGGACTTGTACCGTCTCCTAGATGGAACCAGGGTCACAGGATGGGTGGACTAAATATGAGAGAAGAGTACAATAAGCCAATAGACTGCAGTGCTCCCGGCATGTGGACGGCTCCTCAAAATTAAAAAAAAACCTTTGATTGCTTATACAGGATGTCCCACCGTATACGAGACGGTCCATAACTCAATAACGGTCCATTTTATGAAAATTTTGCGAGAGTACTTTTTTGTGTATATTCAAAAAAGCCATCTCCTAAAATTACTTTCAATTATACAGGTTGTCCCAAAAAAGAGTT